TGGGAGGGTGGGCAGCGTAATTGCAGGGTTGGGAACTGCACAGGGCAAGTTTGTGGGGGTCAGAGGGGAACGTGCGCTACCTTGGCACTGATGTTTGCAGGCGGTGCCAGAGATGACGAAGCTCCTGAAGAAGAAGTGAGTGCTGGTGCTGGGACCTGGTGGTGTGGAGTAAGGGCAAATAAAGGATTTTACTGGAAAGAGGTGGGGTTGGTCACTGTGGTGTTGGGATGGGGTTTTTTGTTTTGTTTTTGTTGGGGATTTTTTGGAGGTCAGTTGCATGGCTGGGGTGGAAGAAAGCAAAACAGGGAAGGCAGGAAAGAGAAGAATGCAAGAGCGCTACAAGGCAGGAGGCTGTAAGTGTTTGTCATTGTTTATTCCAATCTCCTCACCCCTCCAAGCCATGCTCAGCCCCTGGGCAGGGTCAGGCTGGGGGGTCTGACTGGGGTGCCAGGCTGGGCCCAAGCTGTCCAGCAGCTCTGTCCTGCCCCTGGGCACTATGGGGCTGTGCTGGCCCTGGACTGGTGGAAGTTCCACGGTGTTCCCGGCACAGTCTGTTTGTCCCTCCAGGCACTGTGGGTCCATACTGGCCTAAGACTGCTGGAAGGTCCATTGTTCCCAGATGACCACCGTAGGTCCCAGCTGGCCCAGAGCTGGTGGCAGGGCAGGTAGGTCACGTGCCACAGACACTGGTGAGCAGAGGCAATGCTGGCCTCGCCCTGAGCTGGTGGCCATTGCAGGAGATGCCGCAGGTTGTCTTCAGCACTGCCACCTCACCTGTGGCAGCCGCATGGGCCAGCATGGAGAGCATGTCCCCACAGGAGTCCCCATTCCCCCAGGCTCGCCCTATGCCTCAGGAACCCTGCCCAGCCGTGGCTCTGGGGGCCCCAAAGCCCCATACTTCTCCTCAATCATTGGGGCACCCTGGGGGCAGTCGAGGAGTGGCTTGAGCTGGAAGACATCAAGACTCTCCTGGTTCCTGCGGTTGTAGACACTGAGCCGGTGGCCCAGGTCAGGGCTGGCCCCCACCGAACTGGCCGGGCTGGGCAGCTTCAGGTTGACAGGATCCAGCCCCTTCTGCACCAAGCAGGCCTCTTCTGACAGGGACGAGAGCAGCTCCTGCACCACAGCGTGGGCCACGCGCTGCCGGGCGGGCGCCAGCTCAGGCCGCGCTCCCGCAGCCGCCTCGGCCGGCTCCTCGCAGGCCGTGCTGCAGTCGGGGGACGAGCCCAGGGTCTGGCTGCTCTCGCTGCAGCCCCGCGTGCCCGAGCTGACGGTGGAGCGAGAGGCGCTGCCCGACGTGAGGCTGGCGGAGGTCCCGGTGCTGCCCAGGCGCAGCGGCACCTCCACCGTGAACAGCTCCGAGGAGATGTTGGGCCGGTGCACGTCGATGGCGGCCGTGGTCACCACGCAGATGGCGGCCTCGGGGACTCCGCTGTCTGCAGGGACAGAGCAGAGAGGCAGCTGAGAGCCTGTGCAGGGAGGGGCTGCACAGGGTACAGAGCTAGAGCGAGTTCACGTGTGCCACTCTGTACCTAGAGTCCTGTACACAAAGCCATTTGGGATGCACACACACTACAGCACACAGATCCCCTTTAATCTGTAAATCAGCTATATATACACATAATATACATGCATATGTATACACACACACACATACTAACACACTGTCTTGATACTCAGCTCTGTTTATAGGGAGAGCAGCTGTAGAGGTATACACAGGTGTTAACACACACTGTTATGCCTATAGATGTGTATGTCTGCATAAGGACATCTATAATCCATTGTGCCTGCACGTGTACAAGGACAGGCAATAGGTACCTATAGGCCATAGTCCTTCCCTTAAATACCTGGAATTAGCTACTGCTACAATAGCATGCAAACCCCCCCCCCACCCCCTCAGCTGTACTAATTTCTCTGTGTGTGTACACATAGGGATATACATATACAGATACACACATTTATACCTACACATTAACAACCCCCACTCTCTTGCAAGAGTCTTTGCCCTTTATGTGTTTCCTGCTCTATACTCTGGGGATGTATAGGCAGGGATACACAGCCATACATAATGTCACATACCTGTATATAAATGCATGAGCACACACACATCTATTACATACAGATATGTCTATTCACCTCCTTCCCACTCCATTTTATATACATGACATTTATATATAGGTCTCTGTGAGCCCCATATAAAATACATTGTACACAGACCTTGTGTGTACAGTGCCTTGAAAGACAGTTATCTACCATTACATAAAATATATACAACCTCTCTACCTTTCTGTGGAAATGTATACATACTTCTCTGTATGTGTATGCATATTTATTGGCTAGATACATATGTAAGAGATGATACCTATACATTAACCTATCCCTCTGTATTTACACAGCTATTTATAAACATGTCTTTAGACTATATGGAGATCCATATATGATATAGTACACATATATATCATGTATAGACTATCAATACATGCTTCCTCTTTAAATACATAGACATTATTTATAAATAGAACACACCTGTGTTCTCAAACATGTGCATACTTACCTTTATATATAAATACATCACTGTGTGTATATGGCTGGGGAACACACTTATAGGGGTATAGAGAATACATTTTACCTACACATGAACACCCCTTCCCCTTTACAGTCTTCTTGTATCTAGCTATCTGTGAAATATATATATACACACACACATATTTACATGTATGTTTTCCAAGCTTTCCAAGTCTGTTATGGGAATCTACAGAGATCTGTCTCAATACATAATGCCACATACCTCTCTCTATACATGTGCATATATAATGTGCACATATGTAACACATAGGTGTATCTACACAGTTTCTTACACACCTAATTTTATTACTACCTAATCTTTATATACAGATTTGAATGTAACCATATGGGGACAAGCTGTATCTGTGCATATATATACAAACCCCATATGTAATACATTAGACCTATACATCTATATGTACATGTTCTATATACGTATCTGTGTGTGTATACATGTGTGCACAGATATATAAAAACTTACATATGTACTATCTACAGGACACAGTTATTCTCTCCCTTTGAAAATGTAATTGTTACTCTTTTAAATAGAATGTATACAATTACACATATGCATGCTTACCTTTGTATATGAATATTTGTCTTATGTATATATAAATCTGAAATGTATATACAGATACATTATATATACTTGTATATATTATATAAGAGAATATATTAATATATAGTAATATATTAATATTTATATTATATACACAGGAATGTATAATAGGTATATATATATATATATATATACCACGTGTATCAAATAAGATATACATATAATACAATGCTATAACTATACATGACACCCCCAATCTTTATATGTGTTTTAAATTATATATATATATATATATATATACACACACACCTTTTCATAGATAGCAAAGTTTATTATGGGGATGTATACACAGGGATATAAATCTATGTGTAATACTATATATGTGTATATATGTGTGTGTATATATATATATACACCTGCCCCAGTTTAAATCCATATAATCTATACGCGCATACATGTCTCCATATGGATATGGGGAGTGTGTCCATATAATATTTTAGTTCTACATGCACACACACTATAATGTATGGCCCCCCTCACAGTAATACATGATACCTATGAATATGCAGACATTTTATAGCTGCACTGTGTAGTCCCCTCTTTAATTCCATACAGTTGTAAAAAAGGCTGCGCAGCCTTACCTTTCTGTAGAAATTCACAGACTTGTCACCATATGTACATACATTGACAGTGTATATATCAGGATATACATTATAGCTATACTTGCACACACAGAGACATACACATGCTATATGTAATAGCTATTATCCATAGGCAGTGAGATGTATGTATACATATATACCTTGTTAGAGATCGTCACAGGTATTCAGGGGATACAGAGAGAGAAATTTATGAACAGTGCTGTACACTATACACCTGTATACACATGCATATACATATTCTGTAGACTACAGTGCTACACAAATGCATTCTATCTCCCCATCTCCCTTTTTTATACACATAATATTTAGATTTCACCATACAGATATGGACGATACGTGCATTCATGAGCTCCATATGGAATATTTTACACACACACATACATATACACTATAATACATAGCCCACCCCTTAAATATACATAATTACTATTAAATAAAAAAGATCCCACCTCTCTATGTGCATGAATTTATTTATAAGATGCATGTACATATAAATATATATAAAAATACATTTTACCTTTATTTGACAACTCAGATACATCTTTATTGCTATAATATAGCTATAATGGGGGTTAATATCAAGGGACGTGTATATATTCACACACACATCTATACATCTATCAGTAAATAGAATATGCCTGTATACTGTATATATACTAGATATAGATATATACAGTATGCTGTATACCTGCTCACTTTATCTGTACACACACACTATATGTATCTATATCTATATACACACACAGTCTCTCTCAGTCATTCTGTAGCCATACAGGCAGTGTGTCAATGTGTATGTGGATAAAGAGTCCCCTATAAAGTACAGCATACAGACATATGGACTTTTGATACATGGAACACACACTACTCCCTTTAAATACAGGCTGCTCTCCTTAAATAGAACATGCACCCACATATACATATGTACATTACATACATACACAAATTTGTGTGTTCATATACAGGAACTGCAGATATAAGGATATAAATATATAATACATTATATGTAACACCAATGATACATATTAGACATATAGAATTGTATTACTCTCCCTTTAATGTCTCTTGATGTATATTATGGGGATATACATCTATAAACAGTACCATATACCTGTGTAGATATCTCTGTCTCTACACACACACATTATAAAATACACAGGTATATACAGGGTATCTCCCCAATTTTATATATATGTTTATCCATATAGATGGGGAACATGTGTGTTGATCTGCCCCATATATAGGATATAATGTATATATCACACACATGACTATCTTTGTAGACACATGGAACTTGTGTACAGGGATATACATATGCAATACATCATTGCTATATGTGAACACACATTATGTATATATGTATATGCACAGACATGACCCCTCACACCTTTCCTTTTTTACATACCCTACACCTATGTATAGATTCATACATCTTTATACATATAGTCCTGTAGAGCTTAGGGATGTATATAGAGGGATAGACAGAAATAAAACCAGTACTTTATACCTCAATGTGTGTGTGTGTACATTTTTTAAATAGCTCTCTATATAATTCATGTGTCTGTGGATGCATAGGCTTTCTCTCTCACACATACATATATATAGAGATTTCATATATCCATATACACAGCTTTATATATAGACATCCATATTTATAGAGGGAATATCCCTATGCATATATCTACATTTCCCCTTCATAATATATCTACATATGTACAAATATTCTATATATAATACATGTCTGTATATACACTCATGTCCTTTCTAACATATAAACCATATATGTATTTAAACAGGCTCTCATATACCTACCCACATATATCTCTCCCTATGTCTGTATATGTATCTACATATATTTATACCTATATAAAATACCAGTGCAGTACACAGTCTTTACCTGTCTTTATATCTGTCTGCATATTTACACAAACAGCCTCATTTATACACACACAAATATAGGATAAGCCTATAGATAAAAGTCCATGTACCTATATAATTATAGAAAAACAAGTATATATTTTATACTTAAAATATACACATAACACACATAAAATAGATTAAAAAGAGATGTATATGCAGACAGTCTTATACATGCTTCTAAAATAAATATATAATTATGTTTCAAAATAAAATCTATAGCCAGTCTTTACCCTCTGTATGTGTTTACATGGGGAATTTTTATATAGGGATGTAATTTATAATACCTATACATGATACAGAGGGATCCATGTTATATGTCATACATATCTATAAATAGGTATCTATCCCCATATATATGGGATAGACATATATATACACACACACACATACATGCCACACTTCAAGTATCTCTATACAGACCGTGTACATCCCTAGTCATATCTAAGTATACAGCTCTTCACATATAGCTATGGCTATAGACACACAATACATTACAGCTATATATGAACACACACACATATCTTGTAATGGATATAAAATAAAGATCTGTAGACACAAATATGTACAAATGCCTTTACAGATGTTTAAATGTACAGGAACATATTGCAGCTGTATTCACATGCACATATCCTGATCTATAAACATACACAGAAGCCATCTTTAGCAAGCAGATCTCTCTCTCATGTATTTATGTACATAAACGATACGATGCACATACACAATACAATATCCCTGTGCTCACAGAGTCACAGAATNGATATAAATATATAATACATTATATGTAACACCAATGATACATATTAGACATATAGAATTATATTACTCCCCCTTTAATGTCTCTTGATGTATATTATGGATATACATCTATAAACAGTACCATATACCTGTGTAGATATCTCTGTATCTACACACACACATTATAAAATACACAGGTATATACAGGGTATCTCCCCAATTTTATATATGTTTATCCATATAGATGGGGAACATGTGTGTTGATCTGCCCCATATATAGGATATAACGTATATATCACACACATGACTATCTTTGTAGACACATGGAACTTGTATACAGGGATATACATATGAAATACATCATTGCTATATGTGAACACACACATTATGTATATATGTATATGCACAGACATGACCCCTCACACCTTTCCTTTTTTACATACCCTACACCTATGTATAGATTCATACATCTTTATACATATAGTCCTGTAGAGCTTAGGGATGTATATAGAGGGATGGACAGAAATAAAACCAGTACTTTATACCTCAATGTGCGTGTGTGTACATTTTTTAAATAGCTCTCTATATAATTCATGTGTCTGTGGATACATAGGCTTTCTCTCTCACACATACATATATATAGAGATTTCATATATCCATATACACAGCTTTATATATAGACATCCATATTTATAGAGGGAATATCCCTATGCATATATCTACATTTCCCCTTCATAATATATCTACATATGTACAAATATTCTATATATAATACATGTCTGTATATACACTCATGTCCTTTCTAACATATAAACCATATATATATTTAAACACGCTCTCATATACCTACCCACATATATCTTTCCCTATATCTGTATATGTATCTACATATATTTATACATATATAAAATACCAGTGCAGTACACAGTCTTTACCTGTCTTTATATCTGTCTGCATATTTACACAAACAGCCTCATTTATACACACACAAATATAGGATAAGCCTATAGATAAAATTCCATGTACCTATATAATTATAGAAAAACAAGTATATATTTTATACTTAAAATATACACATAACACACATAAAATAGATTAAAAAGAGATGTATATGCAGACAGTCTTATACATGCTTCTAAAATATATATATATAATTATGTTTCAAAATAAAATCTATAGCCAGTCTTTACCCTCTGTATGTGTTTACATGGGGAATTTTTATATAGGGATGTTATTTATAATACCTATACATGATACAGAGGGATCCATGTTATATGTCATACATATGATGCATATTAAAAATATATGTATATATCTGTTCACACCCCCTTGATCTATATTACCTAAGAAATATAAAATATGATACACAGTTTCATACATATCTATAAATAGGTATCTATCCCCATATATATGGGATAGACATATATATACACACACACACATACATGCCACACTTCAAGTATCTCTATACAGACCGTGTACATCCCTAGTCATATCTAAGTATACAGCTCTTCACATATAGCTATGGCTATAGACACACAATACATTACAGCTATATATGAACACACACACATATCTTGTAATGGATATAAAATAAAGATCTATAGACACAAATATGTACAAATGCCTTTACAGATGTTTAAATGTACAGGAACATATTGCAGCTGTATTCACATGCACATATCCTGATCTATAAACATACACAGAAGCCATCTTTAGCAAGCAGATCTCTCTCTCATGTATTTATGTACATAAACGATACGATGCACATACACAATACAATATCCCTGTGCTCACAGAGTCACAGAATGGTCTCGGCTGGGACCTTCCAGCCCATCCAGTGCCAGCCCTGCCATGGCAGGGACAGCTTCCACCATCCCAGGGTGCTCAGCCCCATCCAGCCTGGCCTTGGGCACCTGCAGGCACCCCCCAGCTGCTCTGGACACGCTGTGCCAGGGCCTGGCTCCCCTCAGCGCTCCCAGCCTGGCCCAAGGGCAGAGCAGCTGCGGGGCCTCCACTGGACTCGCTGCAGCAGCTCCACGTCCTGCTGGTCCTGCTGATCCTGATCCTGTCTGCAGCTGGGGCTCACCTGAGCGGGGTGGCTGAGCAGGGCAGGGTCCTGGTGAGCTCCAGGTCCTTGTTCTTGGGGCTGCTCTCGATCCCCTGGTCCCCAGCCAGTGCCCGGACACAGGGCCAGGACCTTCCCCTTGGCCCTGATGAATACCACGAGGATTCAGGAATGCCCCTCTCCAGCCTGCCTCGATCCCACTGGATGCCAGTTGAGTTTACAGCTGGACACTCACACTCCGTTCTGTTTAGTATTAATGTAGCTTCAGCTATATATAAATACACTTCTATGTGGATGTATACACAGGATTAAATACAATACTTTATACAGAGATACACATTTTCATTCCTGTAATATACACACATGTATTTCTTTAATACATACACATAGATTCTGACCATCTCTCACACTCCTTTATACATTTTATATATTTAATATATGCATTCTAATTAATTATCTCAGTATGTACAGAGACACAGCCTTTCACACATCTATATATAAAGATATATCTATATGAATACACAAATACCTTTGTATGTGTATAAATCTGCTCACATAATACCCATATGGGGATGTGCATATGACTGGAGAGACATACATGATACACTAATATATACATACATGTACAAACGTGTATGTTTACTTACATCTTTATGTATGTGTATCTGGGATGTGTGCATATATGTGGGATATACAGAATACACTACAGGTTTACATATGTACACATATATACATATTTATATGTATACTAGACACATCCTTATATAAATATATATACACCTATATTTCACTATGCAGTCTATACCTAAAGTATGCAGTACATTATACATATATATATATATACATAAATGCATATATATGTTTATATATACATACACACACCTTGTGTATATGCTATGTACATGTATAAGCGGGCACACAAACATTGCTTTTTTTCCTATAACCCTGTGTGTATACATATATATATGAGGAGATATACATTTATAACACATAATATTTAAGCACACATACTTTTTTAATATGTATACAAAATGTTACATACACGTGTATGCACACTGCCACTTGTCAGAGCCTGCCTTGCTCAGCCTCCCCTGACCCTCTGTGCTGGCAGCCAGAGCAAAGCCGGCCCCAGCAGGGCTGGACAGAGCCCCCAGCATGGGCAGAGCCCCCAGTGGTGCCCAGCAGGGCTGGACAGAGCCCCCAGCATGGGCAGAGCCCCCAGTGGTGCCCAGCAGGGCTGGACAGAGCCCCAGCACAGGCAGGAACCCCCTGTGCCAATGAGCCGCCAGCCAGGAACATCCACTTGAAGGCTGCCCTCAGCTGCTAAGGTTTCTCACCATCCAGTTTAACCTTTCTGAAAGGTTCCCAGCGTGGTGCTGGGCTAAGCTGTCTCCCCACTTCTTTTCTCTCCATTTATTTTGTCCCTACTGTTCATTCTCAGATCCATTTGAACTGCTCTGTGAGCTGGACAGCCGAGCTACAGGGAATTAACCCCTTCTAGATCTCTATATTATCCTGAGTGCCATCAGCAGGAGCAAAGTTGGGGCCCTTCAGCTTACAGAGAATGACTATTGGCACACACTTCCATGGACCTAAGCAGAAAACTGTGGTGGGTTTCCAGCACAGATCTACAGCACTGCTCAGTCTCACCTGGTTTACAGCACAAAATACAATGCAAAAAATACCACTCACGTTTGTGTTTGCAAGCAACACTCACCACTGCTGGGCTCGTTGTAGTATCGACTGATGTAGTTATTCATGTCATCCTCTGAAAGAACAGAAAGCCAGCCCTTAGAAGACCATTTATTTCATTAAATGGCTGAATCCCATCCCGTGGAAGGCTTTTCTCTCCCCCTGCATGCCCAGAGACACCAGCTCTGGATTTCCAGGCCACAGGGCCTGAACCCCCCATCCACGCTGTGGCTGCAGGCAACACGGGGACTGGATTATCTTTTGTCAGAGTTCTTTGCAGCCCCAGCCTGGCAATGAGGCACTTTAGGCTCCAAAGGAAAGGTGCTCTGTCATCCTTCCAGAGGCTGACGCAGGGCTGGCCATTTCCCCTTGCTCTGTAGAGACAAACACAACACTGGCCTTTCCCTGGTCAGCAGGGCCCTCCCCTCCCACCCAGGGCTCACAGATAAACCTGGGATTTATCCTGACACCTGAACCAAGGGCACCAGCACAGACAGACCCATTGCTGCTGCACACTGACACTCCCCAAGCCACCTCCTTCCCCACAGAAGAAAGGGAGGCACCATGTATGATGTTAACATGTAATTCCCACCTTCTAAAATAATTTGAATGAAGTTATTTTGGTGTATATAGCACATGCATATAAATATACAGCATAATGTTAACATTACACTATTTGTTTTCTTAAAACCTACTATAAAGAGTTTTACTAATCAAGGGTGTAATATTAAATTTGTAGTACATGAATGAGAGCTACACCTGAACTTCAACAGCAAGTTAAAAATGAAGATGTGACCACAGAAGGGAAAGCAGCAGCTCTATTGCAAGTACAGATTTTAGATACTACAGATGACAGGAGGATTTACTATTATCTTAGGGAAAAGCAGAACATTTTACCATTGTGGAAAAAAACCAAACTTCTCTTGCTCTAAGCAGAAGGCAAACGCTGCTGCTGAGAAACAATATCAGCAGGCCTGGAGAATGTCAGGCTTCCAAGCAACCTGACCTGCCCAATTTGCGGTGTATCCGTGCTCTAAAAGCATTCTCTCCTTTTAAGTGCTCTTTCTGATACCGTGTTTCAGAAACCCATGCTCATCCCTTTGAGCCAGATTTCCTTCGTCCCCCTGGGTCTCTATGGCTACAGTCCTGCCTCATCACAGCACACTGCGGTTTGCAGGTGAAAGAAACAGATGTTTTCTGGGGAACACTTTCCTCACACAACAAGACCCAAACCACCAAGCACTCTGTACCTGAAATAGCTGCACTCATAAGAAGGCAATCTAACCTGACACTGAAAGGCAACGTGGTTGTTTTCCTGGTTTCATTGGATCTTAAAAGCTTTTTCGGCCCTTGTTGATCTTTAAATGCCTGCAGTCAGAGGTGTGCTTTGTACTCATGTCTGAGTTTAAAAAAGAGGCCTCAGAGTAGCTCAGGGCGATGCCGCTGAATTAGGAGTACATTGTAAGGCTTTTCAGCTATCTGCTACTAAAATACACTTCATTTCAGTCAAGCATAATTGATACTGTCAGTGCCACCAAACCTGCCAACCATACAGACACGGGTTCTGGTTCCAAGAATGCCTGTTTGGCTGTACTTCTGGTACACTTTCAGCATCTTGGAGTCCAATTCTAAGCAGACAAATGAGGAAAACAGCACAGCACTTTGTCTGGACAAGAGTCACCCTCCCTGTCACCTGACCAAAGGCACCAACAGGGACCTTGGACTTGAGTGCTCCCAGTAGTGTTTCCAAATGCCAAGACACTTTGCATCAAAGACAGGAAACACTTAGAAATTTTACTAACCTGCTTTTCATGTCTTAAAGACAGTGCTCAAATCAAGGCTTCCTTAGGACTGCACACATTTACTGCCCTGGCCACACTGACAGAATGTACCAAACACAGCAGCTGTGTCCAAACCAAGTCAGCAGAGAACCAGGCTGCCCTGTATGGCAGCAGGAGGCACTGCCAGACAGCTGGAAAGGAACTCCAGAAATGCACTGCCCCTGCTCTCTCTGAGCTGGGAGGCAAATTCCAGCCTGGCCTGGCCCTGTGTGTGACCACTTGCACACAAGACTGGGGGAGCTCCCAGCTGCCTACTTTAATTTACTCTGTGATGACCTTATTAATGTCATTGCTCACCACTGCTGATCTATTTAGCTATAAATTATATAAATAAATACATCCACATGTGTATGTAAATATAAGACACATATATTCAACTTTGAGTAGTGTCTTACCAATAATAACCAGGAAAGAGTAATGGAATAACAGCAGCAGAATAAATATTTCAACAACAGATTAAGTTTTTGACTCATTACAGTAAAGCAAACTGACAATTAACAAACTCATCTGAGTCATATGGGAGCCTCAGCTGCTTTGGGCATTGAAGGTTATAAACAATTCCAGTTACCTCCCATTATATTCTACATTGCTGAAAAAGGGAGTTCAGAATAATGCAACAAATACCCAACTGAAAGCACCTATCTGTGCATATAAAATGTACCCATAAAGCCACAGTTGTGCACAGCACCAGAGAACACTGCTGAAGTGCTTGTGGGGATTCTGAGATGAAGTCCCTGCTTGGAGTGGGGGTCCCATGGGATCAGGATCAGCTGGCAGCATGCAGGGAGTTTGGAGCGAGCAGGAAGACCAGCTTTTACACAAGAGGCAGAGTACTTGTATTATTTACATTCTACACAGTGTTTTCTGCTGTCAATCTATTCCAGCTTCAGCTGCAGAAAAGAAGTTGTCTTAAGAAATACTTAATTCTTCACAATTTCCATGGGTTTTTCTTAAACCTCTTTTTTAAAATTTTATTTTTTAATTTTTATTTTATTTCTACCACCTTGGAATTTTCAGGATCCAGATTTAATTTTTCTTCTTTCCCTCAAAATAAATCCATCTACTCCAATACACAGAAGTATTACCTGCACTTCCTTATCCAGAAGACAGACTTTGCATCTTTAGCTATAAAGATGCCCAGATGGTATTTATAGCAAACTAAAAAACTTGCAGTAAGGAGAAACGAAAAGCATTTCCCTCTTAATTCCCAAGAAAATGGCAATGGATGGTGACTGGGATCATCTTGCTACATGTGCCACCAGGAATCAGAGAAACTTCTCTGTTGGAAAAGGTCTTTTTCACTCAAAAGATTGAGTGTACCAGTAAACCTAACAGTGCCACTGAGCCATGCCCCTCTGTGCCACATCCACCCTTAATAAATGACCTCAGGAAAATCTGGATGACAGGAAATTCAGTGATGAAGATCCAAAAGGTGTGAGGTGAGAAGGAAGAGTGAGGCAGCTCTTCATGTGAAAACTTGTGGTGAACCAGGATGGATCTACAGTCTTCCCTGCAGAGTGGGAGGCAGTGAGATCCTGTGGAGGGATTCAGCTGAGAGTTCTGCTGAGCAGGGGAAGGAAGGAGTAGAACAGGCTGCTCTGTGGTCCAGGAGCAGAGTTTGCTCAAGCAGTGTGGGCTGAAAACTCCAAGGGGCGAGGCAGCAGAGCCCACAAATGGACAGTGGGGCTGACTCCAACAGTCAGCAATCCCATCCCACAGAAGGGAAATGTCTGACTGGGAAGGCTGCTCAGACTCTGCCCTATCTCATAAAGCCAGCCTCCCCTGCACTGTAACCAACCCCCATGCAAGGCTGTTCACTGCAGTGCACTTCCAGCTCTGCCTGCTGCCCAAATCCCAGTTATTGAAAAAACGTGTGGTTCTCAGTCAGGATCTGTCTGACAACCACTGGATTTTGTCTGATGAAGGTTTCCAAGTCATCTGCTTGTTCTTTTCCTGCAGGACTCCAAACACAGACTGCAATGGTTCAGGGAGTAATAAACTACTTAGAGTACAGTGCCATATAATCTCATCTGACCCAAGAGACAGCATTGCAATCTCTCTCTCTTGGCCCCATAAAAAACTAATAAATTTGGTGAAACATATAAATGACATTCCACCCAAGGCAGATCTCTTTCAGTTCTATAATGCTTCAACAGTGAGCTTTAATTCTTTCATTAATCCCTTCAGTGAATAATCTGCAACTCCTCTGCATACAAGACAAGGGGGTTTTATTTTGAAATATTTCATTTTTAGAGTATTTAATTTCATATTTTTATTGCCATTGGTTGTACTACCTTCTGTCTCTCCAAGCTGAATTTTCTGAACTGGAAGGTTATTTTTTCTGCTGTGCAGCCTCCCAGTGAGTCCTCAGAGTAATGTCTTACCCCAGCTTCCTTCCAGAAAACAATCTTTACTAGGAGGTTTCTAAAGAGGCAGACCTTTCATCTGTTTCAACAGGAAGCAGGAGCAGCCAGCTGGCACTTTCTAGGAGACTTCCCCTGCCTTTGGTTTGAAGACAGATTGCCACATTAGTGCAAGCTGCAGTACTCACACCACTGTTCAATTCACACACACATCCAGCAGAGGCTGGATGGATGCCTGGGCACATGGATATTCCATCTTGACAACAACTGTAAAGTCAGCTTGCACACAAAAGAGAGCAACAGCTTCAGCCTGGTTCTAAGTAAGAAATCAACCTGTGGTCAAAGTCATTGTGCAGAAGGAAATCTGGGATATGCAACAGGCTCCATTATCGGCAGATGCTGCTGTTCCTAACAACAACTGGAGGGCTTTGGGCCTCACTTGAGCAGATGATGCAGCAGGAGCACTGTGAGCTGACTGAGCATGGCTGGGATGCAGCACAGCTCTGTGTCAGGGTGGCTGTGGGCACAGGACAGCCTGGGGGCTCTCAGAGCTCCTCCCCAACCTTGTTCCCTGAGCATGGATCAGCACATCCAGGTATGAGCTGGCTCAGTACAGTCAGCCTGAAGCAGACTCAGGGAAACCTGTGTCTCTCTCTGTGAAACACCAACATTGGCTGAGTCTAAAACGCAAAGCTAAGGAAGAATATGGCTGCCACCAAAACAATCATTAAGACAAGAAAAAATCAGGCAAAAGGATTCAAGAACAAACTGTTATAAACTGGCAACAAATAAATGCAATCTGAGAATTAGGAAAAGACTTGTAATACTTCAGAACCCGAGCTGCTGGAAGGGCAGCAGAGGGCAGAACACAT